AGGGCACACTGTTGGCTGATATTCATTTATTGTCCACTGTAACCTCCGCATCCTTTTCTGCAGAGCTGCTCCTCAGCCAGTCAGCCCTCAGCGTATACTAGTGCATGGGATTGTTCCGTCCTAAGTGCAGGACTTTGCAGTTGTCCTTGTTGACATAGACAGATTAATGGTTGGCCAGCTGGGCCCGGGCCTAGGGGCCACTACCAATTCAGGGGGCCCAGGAAGCAAAAGCCAATGTTTTAAATTTGGTGCCATTTTTGTCCCTCAGCGAGGAGTTTAAAATGTAAAACCCTGGCTTTCACACTTTCTTATCTGGGAGCCCAAAGTGGGACCTCTCCACCAATGGGGTGGGAGGGAGGGCCAGGACCAGATCAAGTCAGGAGTGCTGCACTATGCCAGGGGGATTTTGGGGAGCTATAGCCCTCTCCCCAAAAATTCACCTTAGCCTCCCCATAGCCACCCCTCCCAGCACCACCACCTGCCATGGCATAGTGCTCCAGGCCCGGCCCAGCCCAGCCCCGTACATTTGCACAGTGGCACAGGACACAGCCAGGCAGTAGGTCCCTACAGGCAAGTGTAATGGCAAGGGATGGGCGGGGAGCTAGACTGAGCCATGGTGGGGGGAGGCTGCTTCAGTGCTCGAAAGTGGGGGAGGGGGGAGGTCCTGCGTGGGAAAAGTGTGTATGTATATGTGTCTGGGTGTGCACATGTCTCTATCTCTTTGTGTGTGTGCATGCGTATATGCATCTGTCTGTGTTCATGGCAGGGACAGTGTGTTTGTGTCTGTGTATCCATGGACAGAGTGAGTGAGAATAGAGTGCACACCTATGTTGAGTGTGCACCTGTGGGGGGTGGGGGGGTGTACATGTTGCAATGGTGGGAGGGGCAGGGAGAATAGGCAGGTGTGTGCCCCCCCAACCCCCAGCCCAGTGGGGTCTACCCAGCCTCCCCCGCCAGCACCAGGAAGGGAAGGAGCCCCTCCCCACCTCTGCAGCCCAGCTTGGAGTTAGGAGGGGAACCTCAATTTTTGTGTCTGCTCAAAGCCCTTAATCTGCCTCTGATTGAACCTCACGAGATTTCTTTTGGTTCTCTGTAAATCCTAGCCCTACCCTCCAGCATATCTACTACTCCCCCCAGCTTGGTGTCATCTACAAACTTGCTGAGGGTGCACTCCATCCCATCTTCCAGATCATTAATGAAGATATTGAATAAAACCGACCCCAGGACTGACCTCTGGGGTACTCCAGTTGATATTGGCTGCCAATTAGACATCGAGCCCTTGATTACTACCCTTTGAGCCTAACAATCCAGCCAGTTTTCTATTCACCTCACAGTTCATTCATCCAACCCATACTTCCTTAGCTTGCTTGCAAGAATGTAGGTGGAGACTGTATCAAAAGCCATGCTAAAATCAAGGTATATCACGTCCACTGCTCTCTCTGCATCCACAGAGCCAGTCATCTCATCATAAGAAGCAATCAGGTTGGTCAGACATGACTTTCCCTTGGTGAATCCATAGTGACTGTTCCTAATCACCTTCTTCTCCAAGTGCTTAGAAACAGATTCCTTGAGGACCTGCTCCATGATTCTTCTAGGGACTGAGGTGAGGCCAACTGGTCTGTAGTTCCCCAGATCTATCTATGTAGACATTCAAATTGTCTCTAATATTGTAGTGTCCTCTCACATCAGACATCAGCAGAGCACTAGGTTTGATTGATCCCCCCTGCCTTTCTTGGGTATTAGGCTTTGCAAATCAGCACATAGCTTGTCATGGCTGACCATCCCTGATGGGAGACCCAGAACTAGACTAAAAAGCACTGGCACGGATGCCTGTCTGTGTCAGTATTTATTCAGTATAAGTAGCTACTCACTTATAAATATCAAAATTGCATTACAAACATAGCAGAGGATGGAAAGAGCACAGCCAGATAATGCAAGTCTTCTGTAAAATATACCCAGTAGATTACCCATCAAGATTTCATGGATATTGGTTTTATAGAGGTAGCAAAATGTATAAGATAAGTTTTTGCTTTTGGATTCTATAATCTTGCTAGGAGATAAAGTAAATCAGCTTAAGGCCTCTGACATGATTTCCCACAATTCTGTCAAAATATCTATTGCTTATGAGTAAATCATCAGATACTAGGCAAAGCACCATTACATATATACAGAGAACTCTTGCTATGACAACTGCAAACTAAATCCATAGGTCATAGATATAGATATATTTTTAAATAACAATTATGGAATGGACTTTCTTGAAAGAGGCTGTATTGAGAAAAAGTAAAATGGAATATCATTTTCTCTTTTTTGAAGTGAAGTGAAGAATTTTGGGTTGCATCTCACATGTTTGTCATGCAACATAAAGATTTCTCAAATACTAACTCGCGCCAAATCTCAGCTCTATTTAAAAAAAAAAAAAATTACAATCCAGCGAAGTTGAGCTCAATTATAACACTTCATTAAAACAAACCAAAAAGCTCAATGCCCTAGGGAGGAATAACATTAAGGATGACTAGTTGTTTATGTTATTTTATGACCAAGTGATTAAGAATGGTCCATTGCTGAACTAATCTTTATTAATTTTTGCTCTTATGAGGATTATCTGTCCTTTCCTAAAATAGTTTTTGAAAACTTTGCCACAGACTGAGGTCACAGAAATAAATTCCCTGTAGGTCTTGGAGATGTCATTATGTAACAGTTTTTGGAGATCTCATTTTTACAATGACCCCATACTGCCCTTCACATAAAAGAAAAAGGCTCAGTGTTGCGGAACCACAAAAAGACCCAGTCCTTGCCTCAGTGAATGGCTATTAAGTTCAGTAGAAGCATGCATACGCTACATAAACTAAACCTAATAGCCATTCTAGCATGAGGGACAGATACCATAATAAAGGCTCCTTTCAAAGCATTTCCTATCGGGGACGGGAGGGGAGTTGAGGGGGGCAGTGATGGCCCCCTGGGGTTTGATCCTGGCACATTGGGGTGGGTGGGAGGGAGCAGTGTCAGTCCCCCAGGACCCAACCCCACCATACAGAGTGAGGGGGGTGTCCTGGTGCTGGGCCAAAGGGCCCAATCTGGCCTGCTGGCTGACTGTGCCACTCATTTTGCCCACAGGGCCAAAAGGTGAGCACCACTGGTATGGTTCATTCCTGAGGAGGGCTACCAAAGTCTCTCTGCCTCTTCCTCCCACTCTTCCATGTTAACCATCTCTCAAACCCACCCACTTGCTCTTTAGTGGATTAACACTGGAATATTGTGGAAGGAATGTGTTTTGCAAGAAGCTCATGACTGGGGAGCATGCCCTTTTGGGAATACCAGAATGCTGCCTCTGGTCAATTATCCAGCTTTGCAAAAGAAAATTTCCAACTTCTGTGATGAGAGGATAGGTTTCAGATAACAATCAGATGCTCTGTCTGGTTGTACATCAAAATCTATCTAATGCCTCCAGCCTTTCTAATAAAATACAAAAGACTCCATCTACTATAAATCAGGCTTAGTGCTAAATTAGATTAAAACTATGCAGCCCTTCATTTAAAAGAGAAACCAGCATAAGTCTTGTGGTGATAGTAAGGAAATGGGAGATAAGACTTTTGGATTTTGTATTCCTGATAACTCATGGATCCTATCTTCTTTCAGAAAGTGTGTTCAGATTTCCCATCATTGTTTTACCACCATTATGGCATCATTGATAAGAATATGGGCATATATACAAGGTGCCAGCAACCATCAGTGCCTTTGATATCATGTTGCAAAGTCCTGCGTGCAGTGTTAAATGCTACTGCATTTGTAATGTTAACCACTATTTGGAGCCGCGTCTATTCTAACACTCCCATTGCATTAGAATACATTCCTATTTGACTTGCTAGGGGCTGCTCTTCAGATGCTTACCGGCATGCTCCATGTTAGAGCGTGGGGCCTCTTTTAAGCTATGGTGCCCTGTAATGGCCAGACGGGGCTGAACACTTTGCACAGGGTTGGCATTGCAGAGTTTCAGGCCAGCCATGCCTACTGTTCAATCCGTGTGACCCTGGTATGCCTATAGCAAGATGAGCATGTAGTGAATGAACTCCTGTTTTGGTTGTACACAACACCAAATTCAGCTTTATTCTGCGGTGAGCTTTCTCAGCTCCTGAGGCTAATGTGCAGCAATGATAGAACACAACCCAGGTTCAGTACCTGAAGATAAAGTCTAATATTAAACATTGATTGAAAGTCTTTAAAAAGACTGAGCTCAGCTTTTACACAGTACCTTGGTCAAAGGTGTTCATTATGCACTATGATTTTGCAGTTTTCATGTATCAGCTGTTAATGCGTGCGATATATGCCAGCTTGACCTACTTTTTCCCTATTATGCAGAAGTCTGGAAGTAGATTTGTAATCCCCCCACCTTTGCTCGATATGTACAACTTTATCTTTGGGTTCTAAGTGTGCATCATTTTTAGGCTAAGTACAAGTAGATAAGGAGGAGTGATGGATAAGAACTGAAATGCAATGTTTGCTGCCATCTGTGGGTACCAAAGACATTGCCAATTTTAAAAGGGGTTGAAAAATGTCGATTACTTCCTACCAGAAAGATCATTTTTCTATTTCTTTTTAATTTTTCAATTTTTTTTCCTGTTTTTCAACAAAGAAAAAGTAAAAAATGCTAGGCTTCTAGAAATGAATTCTGGTAAATGTATTCAGTTTATGGTTTAAAGAATAGGTTTTGCAAATAAACTGAACTAATACAAAAATATTTTCAGTATTCAGGGTGGAGGGTTGAAATGCTAGAACTTGCTGACAAAACCATCATGTCTGATTAAAAATCTGATTCCTTTTTTCTTTTTTTTCCCCTTTCCAAAAATAGCCCAACTATCAGTTTGTACCCTTCCCCCCACTCCTCCCCAGGTCCTGTGAAAGTCTGAGGGAAGAGGAGGACTTGACATGCAAGAAAATTCTCAAGTCAAAGAACTTTTGGAGGAAAACCTTTTCTCCTAGCATCCTAATATTTAAATTGAGACTACAAATATAAATGTCAGAGCTGATCTTAACTGCTATAGTGTGAAGAAGAGGGAGTTTTGTTTGTTTTTCAGAATATTATATGCACCTAGGTTTGCATACATGGTGTTATCCTGACTGCATAGAGTGAAACCCAAGAAGCCTGTACAGAAGGGACTAGGGAACAAACAGGAAATGGAAAAAATGGGAACAATAAGATACCTGTGGTAAACAGCTTCAATGGAGTTAAAACAACTCTAGCTGGGCCATCAACAGGGAAAGTACTAGTTTCAGGTCCAAGCAAAGTTACATAGCTGTTCTGCCAAGGCTGAAAGGCTAGAGAACAAAAGACTGTGAACAGTTAAAAAGACTGCTGGAAGAAGGAAGGAAGGAGTGGATTGCCAACACCTGCTGGGGAAGATGCAGAGAGAGTTACAGAAGAGAGGAAAGAGTACTGGAGAGCTCAAGGGGGCAGATAATTGGGGTGAATGCAACTCATCACAACTTGCAAGGAGAGATGAAAGTTTAGGTAAGGAAGAAACAAGCACATAGGATTTTAGTGCTTCTGATTGCTTTGGACCTTTGCATGAATATATAAATAAACCACTTCTTCAGAACAGCATTGTGATTCACTTTAATCAGCTGCTACTCCCTGGTTCTTATAGGTAGTGGATTTTCACATTGAATTTGTATTAAGACAACTTGGAACCTGCAGCCCACCACCGAGATCAAGCCCAGAATGACTGCACCACAAGACTCCATCCTTGAAAGTGGTGAAGAAAGCCAGGCCTGTTATTCGGTGATTAAAAGGGAAACCAAAAAGGGTATGCAAAGTGCTATTTATCCAATATCCATGCTATAGAATGTCACATGAGGAGGAAGACAACCAGGACCTGAAGGGAGAGAACAAGAGTTCAGAGTTATAGATGAAAGTCAGCACTGCTGGTGAACAAACTGTGGGGTCTGGGAAATTTCACTTGATGGAAGAAGGCTGTTTTATTAATCTGAAATGTATACCAAACATACACAAGGTAGCCTGTTAGAAGAATGAGGAGCAAAACTCAGTGTTGTACACTGAGTGGTACTTCATAAGAAGGCTGATGTTGACTCTTCTATGTACCTGAATATATTTTCAGTTGAAATGCCTCAGAGCTACAAAGCTTGTATTTGGACCCAAGCATGGAGTTTGTATTCAGCAAATATAGACACAAATAAAACATGATGAAGCTAAACTTTGCATTAGGGCTATACAAAGCTTCGGTCCCTGATTCAATTCGGCTGAGATTCGGCCCGATTCAGTGGCCAAATCTCTGAATCCAAATCGAATCAGGAGACCCTTTAATCTCTCCGAATCGAATCAGAACCCTTTGAATCGATTTGGAGAGATTCGGAAAGATTCGGAGATTCAGCCATAGACACAGCTTTAAAAGTTTTTTCTATATACCTCAAGGTACCAGGCAGCTCATGAGTCCTAAGATGCTGGGGTGGATGGAGCGTCCCACAGGAGCGTGGAGGGCTCCCCAGCATGCTCAGCAGCAGACCCAGAAGTGGACCAGAAGCACTTCCAGTCCACTGGGGAGCATGCTGGGGGTAGGCCCCCACACCCCACAAGCTCAGTGACTGGTGCCTCCTGGGTCTGGGGGGACACCTGGGGTCCCCCTGTGGCTGATTGCCAAGCTGGGGGGGTGCAGAGGGCCCCTCCATGTGCTCCCTGGTGGACCTGGAAGTGGACCGGAAATATTTCCAGTCCACTTCTGGGTTCACCAGAGAGCAGGCGGGGGGGCCCCTCTGCACCCCTGTGGGATGCTCCATCTGCCCCACCATTGCAGTGTTCACGAGGTATGTGCCTGGTACCTTGAGGTATATAGAAAAAACATTTAAAGCTGTGTCTATGGCCAAATTGCTGATTCTCTGAATCGGCATTGAATCTTCAGATTCGGATTTGGCCAAATTGAATCGGGACAGTGATCTGAATCAACAAATCAAATCATTGTCCCTGATTTGGGCTGAATCTGAATCCAAATCAAATACAACCCACTTCACACACCCCTACTTTGCATTTGTACTTTCAATGTGCTGTGGAGTGTTTGCATTACAGGCTTTCTGCTAGGGAGTGGGAGGCCCTGTAACCAGTTTGATTCTCCTTTTCCTGGAGTAAACTGGAAAAAATTCTCACTGAGCTTCCTTGGTAGAATCCACTGGCTGCTATCCCCTGCATTAGCCAAATAGCCTCCAGATCATAAAGCCTTAATGCAATGTAAGGGGCTGCTCTGAAAGAAAGTGCTTCTCGGAAATATCCGTCCAAGAAAATAGAATAACATATCATTTGAAAGGAACTCATGGTGAACTGAACAGAAGTGTGAAGTGCTTAATGGAAAGTCTTTCCTTATACATACATGGGGGTTGGATGAGATGACCTCTGGAGGTCCCTTCCATCTCTATTTCTCTATGTAATTCATTGTTAAGTGTCAAAAAAGTTCACGTCTATTTATCCAGTGAAGAACTAGTTTGAAAATATGGTTGAAAGAAGCATTCATTGTTTTCGGCCATTATTTGTGTGTGAAAAGGAAAACTCTGGTAAGTAAACTATATGCAGCTAACTGATCGAAGTCACAGTCTTGATCTCATGAATATTAAGAACCTGTGGTTCACCATTATTTTTTCTGTTACATGTTTCTTCAGAATTAGAAGGAACTTCCATAAGGGCTCATACCAACACGTGTTCTGAAAGGCACACAAGAGGAAGGAGTGCATATAAGAGCTCCATGGAGAAGCTTGGTGAGCAGTCCGGCTGCTGCAGGAGGGGAACTACTGAGGACTCCCGGAGAAGTGGCAGCAACCCCAGAAGGACTGTAGCAGACGGTGGGGAGCAGAAGCATGAACCCCTGAGAAAATGTAAGCTGGCGTGCTGCCTTCTTTAATTATATATATTTTTTGGTGGCAGTTATAGCCTATGGACAGACTGTTTATAAATTTTGATTGATTAACAACCAGTAGTTTGGGTGAGGCTATTGGGGAAGGAGGAGGCTTCACTGGGGCCCTACTACAGTGTGGGGACCCCAGCGCCAGAGAGGTCGCGGTATTTGGGGTGCTCAGGCCCTGGCACCTGAGGGTGTAATCCTAAGTGGCCAGGGTGGCCTGGTGCAGCTGTGTGGGGGTTTGTTTTTTTTTTGGACTGGGATAGTGGAGGTTCAAGGCCATTGCCTGGCTTTGAACTTGCAACACCCTGGCTGTGGGGCCAGTGAATGGGCCTCTGGGCCAGGGAGGCTGGGATATAAAGGAGGGACACGAGCCCCAAAACTAAAGAGCTAGAGCCTCAGAGTCGAACCCTTTCTGGTGGGTTTAGACGGGCAGGCCTAGCTAGAGAAAGACAGGGGTCAAGGCCTGTGGTGGCAGAGAACCCCAACATACAAAATACAATAGGCAGTGTCCTGCTTACAAGAAAATCAGTATAATATTTCCATCAAGATGTGGCAGGAGAGTAGAAAGCGAAACACAAGAAACCTTAAGGGGACTTCAAGGGCGCCCCACGTAGGTTGCGGATAATGAAAAAGATGACACTGGGGAGGGTGACCTGTTACAGCCTGGAAAAAGTGGGTGTTCAAAGAAAGCTATGACTTGAAGATTAGAAAGTCTAGAGATAAAGTGGGAAGAGCTAAAAGTTAAACTAAAATAGACCTTATGGAAGGTTCTTTAGCTTTGTAGATTACAATAAAACAAAGAAAGAAGTGGGGGTCTCTGTGAAAGTTGACTGGAGTTGTCATTGAGTGGATGTAATCTTTCTGGACTTCAGCAAGGCCTTTGACACTGTCGACCACCCCATCCTCATTAAAAAAACTAGGTGACTGTGGGATTGATGGCTACACAGTCAGATGGATTGCAAATTGGCTGAAGGGTCATACTCAGAGGGGGGTGGTGGACGGGTCATATTCGACCTGGGGGGAAGTGGACAGCGGAGCCTCCCAGGGCTCGGTCCTTGGGCCCGCACTGTTCAATTTCTTTATCAGCGATTTGGATGATAGGGTGAAAAGCAACCCATTCAAATTTGCTGATGATACCAAAATTTGGGGTGAGGTGGGCATGCTAGTAGGGAGGGAAAGACTGCAGCAAGACCTGGATAGGTTACAGGGGTGGGCTAACAAAAACAGGATGCATTTCAATACTGACAAGTGCAGGGTGCTGCACTTGGGCAGTAGGAACCAGCAGCACACTTATAAGATGGGAAACTCCCTTCTTGAGAGCACGGAGGCAGAAAGGGATCTTGGAGTCATTATTGACTCCAAGATGAACATGGGCCAACAATGCGAGGTCACGGTCACACCCTACTTCTATGATTCTATGATTAAAGACAATAGAGGGATGGGTCAAAATGATGCAAGCCTTGCCATACTTTTCAGTAGAGATGGTGATGTAAAACAGGGGTGTCAAATTCAACCCAGTTTCTGGGCTGGATCTAGACCATGGGCCTCTTCATAGCTGAATCCCTGGGGCAAGTGGCTGCGGTGGGGCCACTGAGTGAGTGAAACTGTCAGCGCAGTCCTTGCTTGCCCTTCCTTGCCTTCTAGAGCCATGTTCTCCTTGACTCCAGGTTCTGTGGCAGGTTCTGCCCCCCCAAACCACACCTCCCAATTCCCTAGCCTGACAGTAGACCAGCCCGCTAGATAGAGAAGCAACATAGGCTAAATCTGGCCCCACAGGCCATATGTTTAACACCCCTGATGTAGAACATGGGGATAAAGGTAGGATGGCCAATGGGCATGAGTACTTGGAAATGGAATGTGTTATATGAGTTGGAAGCAAAACTGTAAGAGCTTAGGCTCCATGCTTGGAAGAAGCTCCATTTGAGACTACTGGAAGACGTGGCACATGGAATGGCAACTCTAGTTTGAGAAGTTTATGAATAAGATAGCAGAGGGCTGGACTTGGGAAAACTAGCAGCTCTCTTCCATTCCTATCTTCCTCCAGGAATTACTTGTAGAATCAGTCCTCTCATGCTAGTCTGTTGGAAAATGCTATTGGGTTTGAACTGGATTGTGAAGAGTCTTATTAGCTAACATAGCACTGACTACAATTGATTGATCTGCATCAATCATGGTCAACATTTGGTTAAGCTAATTGTGATCTTCTGTCTTGAGTGGTCAATAGCATTCAGCTTTGTCAGCTAATTCAGCTCTTGATAATGTTGTTCACATGTGACAAAATGTTCGATTTAAGACCAGAACTTACTGAGACATGCAGGTATGTAATGCACAAGAGGATAGTTGGAGTTGTGGATATCAGGGATGGTGATATAGAACAGAGATGTCACACTCAACTCTTTCTGGTTGGCTGGGAACCCCCTTTTTATTGCCAACTCTTCTCCCTACCTCTCACAATATCCCGTTGCAGCATAAATTTGCCTTGTCCTTTTAGACTGTAAGTTATTTGGAGACGGGATTGATATTTTCTACAAGTCTGTACAGCACCTGGTGCAGAGGGCCTGAACTATTTGTCTTTTACGTGTTAAATGTAAATGTCAACAGTACCTCACCAAATGGGATTCAGTGAAGCATTCAGTTATTGCTTTTGAATTCTGCATTTGTCACTGGCATCTTCAGGAGAATGTAAAGTTTTCTGAAAGGAAATACCCTGCACAGTAAATAAACTGTAGCCTGAGGCAAAAAAAAGAGGTAATTATAAAGCTACTATAGTATGGCTTCTCTGCAGTTGGAACAATATGCCATGAATATGTTTCTCCAGTTGAATGTCTGGCAAAAGGCCATCCTTTCAGATTGAATGTTTGGAGAATATTGGAATACATATTACATTTCTTTGGATATGTCAAGTTTTCCCAAGGGACTTTGATTGTAATTCAGACTGGTGAGCATTAGTTAATAAACTCTTACAGCATAGTTGACTTTTTCTCCTCTCTCCTCAACAAAATAAAGGTGTGTTTATGGAGCCAAAATGTCTGCTCAACCTGGGACCAATCTTTTGGATCCATCCTCAAATTTACTTTGAGGTTAGAATGGTGAGCTGCCGGACAGTCAGTAGCTCGTTTTCTTCCATTGCAATACAGGAAGTGGTGTGATAAGCCAGTATATTTATGCATTTATGTTTTGAATATGGTAATCTATAAAATAACCCTGATGCTTAGAGGTACTAGACATGTAATCAAATGGCTTCAGCCAAGGCTTAGAAAACTCAGTGGAGGCTTTTTTTCAATGTGAAATTTCAGAGACACATCTCCCTTGACTCTTTTTCCTCTTCACATGTAATTGTTAGCAGTGCAAGTCTGATTCATTAAAGAGCAGCAATGTTCTCAGCATGGGACAGACCATAAGAAAAGACTGCCCTCAAGAAGTTTCCACTTGAGACAGACAGCATGGCTTAAGCACTGATTGCTTGGTGAGACCCATGGCAAAACAGGATTGTAGAGCTTTGATTTACAATTCCAAATAACAAGTTGCTGACTACATATTTGTTGGCAGTAGTTTGTAGACTTCTTGGAAGAAGGGGGGCAGGATCTGAAAAATAAAATTGACTTTATACAATAACCACTGAGAGGCTGCTCTGAAGGCCTGTTACTTATGTTCAGTGAGTGCCCTGGACTAAGAAACTGGAATGTATTCTTTGTTTGTCAAATGTTCTGATCAACCAGACCCTCAGCACCCTGGCTCCATAGAGAGTGCTGCTCTTGGCACAAAGTAATGGAGGATGGAGGGACCTTATTTATGATCCATAAAGGTCATAACCACCAAATGCTGGCTTATGTATCTCTAATGCATACAGCTGGAAAGATGCAAGAACTTAAGAGCATCATCATTTGATCCTACATACTTCTTTATTGTTGACCCTTTGTGATGTCCAGGATTCCTGTTGTCTTTGGCTTTGGGGTCTTGGTCCTTTCCCATGAATTCCATTGGCTTTTTTTCCTCTTCCTCTTTACTCAGCGGGTGACAGTGCTGTGCGTTGGTTTTGGTTTTCAAACATAATGAATAGTTTGAATCTGCTACAAATGAAAGGCTGTCCATAGGAACCACTTAAAATAAATGCAATGTTTCTAGTGTCTCAGCCCAACTACCACTGAAGTAAAAAATGGGAATCTTCCAGGTGACAGGAAGATCTGAATCAAATCCAGTAAAATAAGCTCATGAGTGAAGTATTTAAAACAATATGTGGTGAAAAAGGGGAAAAGCACCTAAGAACTAATTAGATATGAAAATAAGAGAAGCTATCTAAATATTTGGATGGCTGAAAGAATAGACAGATAAATGGGTAGGAATGGATTTATTAAGTACAGGTAACTTTGTAAAGTATTTGATGGTATTTCAGACTGTATGCCCCACCCACTTTTCTCATCTGGTGGAGTTTATGTCATGGGAAGTAATGTTTACATAGCAGGGACAATGTATTGTCCAAAACCAGAGGATTTTATTGTGATGACATTACAAGGAATCTTGGTTTTGAATTTGATTTTTGCAGCATCTCCTTGATTGTGGTTAAAATCTGGATTTGTACAAAATGGGAAGAGGTTCCCATTTTGGAAAAGCTTCCAGTTTTGGCCTACCGTTAGCTCAGAAGATTTAGCAACTAGCTACTCCTGACCCTAAAATGTAGGTATGTGTCTGTTGATCTCCAGTAGGGCTTAGAAAATGTCTTTTTATCAGCCCTGCTTATTATTGCCAGTGGTGTCTGAATATTCAACTCTAAATAGAATTTCTGCTGCTTAAAGAATGTACCCCACAGAGAGAGATGATTTCCAGCTGCTAACATAATTTTTGTAATCCAGCTCCTCATTTTACTTATTCCAACTGCTTTAATTCAATCCACAGTGCAGGAAAAATGTTTCTCTCCTTTTTCACATTGTCTTCTTCCTTCTAACCATTT